GAACATCGTCGCTGATGCGTTGTCGAGACTTAACATCTCCAACAACGACGGTTCTTCAGAACAGATGGACGCCAGCGAGATCGCTGAACTCATGGCTGCAGACGAAGAGGACTTCCCTAGCGAGTTCCCTCTCTCGTTCCCCGAGATCGAACATCGTCAGAAAGACGACAACGATATCAAGAAGCTCCTCAGGGACAAGCCAACGACTACAAGAAGCAATCTTTCCCCAGAGGGGATAAGTCTACGACTTAGTAGTTAAGGACGAGAAAATCGTCGTACCTAAAACTATGCAGAAGAAGCTAGTTGAATGGTACCATGGTGTGCTGATGCATCCTGGCGAGACTCCACGGAACTAACCATCAGCCAACACTACACCTGGAAAGGACTGCGCAGGACTGTGCAGGCGTATGTCAGCGTTGCCAAAGCTGCCAGATGACAAAACCCAAGACGCGTAAGCTGGGATTGAGCCTCCAAAGACTTGCGAGGAGATCCCTTGGGAAAGACTATGTATTGACCTGATAGTCCTTACAACGTCGGGGATCCTAAGAAAAAGAATTCTGCCACACTTCATTGCTTGACAATGATTATCCCGTAACCGGATGGTTCGAGATTGCAGAGATCTGCTCCAAGGCAGCAGACGAAGTAGCCATCGTCTAGACAAACGTGGCTTACTCGGTATCCATGGCCTGCTGAGGTTATCATGGATAGAGGACGCGAGTTCCGCGCAGAGGTCGAAAGACTCTCCGGGATGAATATGGACTTCGCGCAAGTTCATCACTACGCGTAACCCTCAAGCCAACTCTATGGTCGAGCGTGCTCATCAAACCATACGTAACTTGATCGCTGTTCAAAACACAAGTGCCAAGAACCTCGTGAATGGATCCTGATGGAGTCCTCACGGCGGTTCGCTTTGCAATGAATGCCACGATTCATACCACCTTGCGTGCAACGCCTGCCAGCTCGTGTTCAATCGTGACGCGATTCACAACGTCCGGTTCGAGCCAACTGGAAGTACATTAAGAACGTCGCCAACGACTAATCCAACAAAAACAACGATAGGAAAACGCAACGCGTGTCCCTCATCAATACAATGTCAACGATACTTGATGATTCAACAGTATCAGCACCGCAAGTACGGTCAGCCAAAGTACAAGGTCCTTACACTATAGACGAGTCAATGAACAATGGCACTGTACGGCTCCAACATGCTACCGCCAACGGCGGCACAGTACCAGACTTGGAACATAAGGTATATACACCCATACAAGGCCTGATCCCCTTGTAGGATTGCCATCGTGCGACGCACATGTCTACATCCAAATCTCATGAGAGTGCCCCGCACTTTAAATCATATGTTCTCCTTGTCCGACTGCTGTCGCGCCTTCTGTGACCCTTGTCAGGGGGCGAATGAATAAACGGCTCTTAGCCTTATTCGCGACTCGATCCTAGATAGGGTTTGAGTTCGACTCATGACTGAGTCTCTCGTGAATAGTCATTTGAGACAGGGTTCTCAATGACCGCGCTAGTCATACTAGGTTGATGATGAAACATCGCTTAGATATTAGCCAGCGTGGAGTACTCCCACGCTACTAGATCCAGGCTAGACAGACCTTCCACGCGTTCCGTTTTAGGATCGTGGAGAGACGGTAGGAGTACTACCACAACCTACTCTATCACACTTTACAGTCTCCCGCGGGAAGCCAGATCTACGATCCCTTGATGATGATCTCTCTCGTTGATTAGTTTTCATAGCTTTCTAATCTCTCTCATATCTTTCATTCTCTCAAACTCAAAACACTCGAAAGATCTTCACACTAGCTTTTAGCGTAGTGCAGTAGTAATAAAGTAGCGCCTATCTCTATCCACCCACACGTATGCAAGTAGATCCGTTCCAGTAGCTTCATCCCTTGACGTGACACCATGGCGGTCTCCTTTTCCACCTGTCAGAGTGTAGCGAGATAGGTATCGCATGGGGAAGCCCTTTGTTGCTGTCTTCACTACTCCAATGAAACGCAAACCAATAGACTTCAACCTGAGAGCAGACTGCACAGAAGCAAAGTAGCTATCAGCAACTACAACTGCATTTGTGTTGGCCCATGGCTTGACCAACTCATAAAGGATGTTGCATCCATGAGTATACCTGCACGATTACAAAGAAAGAAGTGAAGTGAGAGTTGTAGATCGATCGTTCGGCAATGAGCGAAAAGTGCAAACGTACCCACTGTCGTCTTCTTTACTCGCGTCTTCTTCTCTCGTGTCTTGGTCAGCATCGGTGGACTTGACCAGCTTCAAGCGTAGCATAATACCGGTGATACCATCTGCCGCATTTTGGATCTCACAACCATCCTCTGGCTTGCTGTCCAGTGCAATGTAATGTGGCAGCCCAATATTTATCCAGTTTCCTCCAAGACCATACCAGCGACTCATGGACTCATCCACGCAGATCCTTGTGGACGGATCATAGTACTGCTGGCGATGTTGGTTCAGTCTGTCAACAAATCCTTGAACCATTAGCCATCTGTATGTTTGCTGAGACATTCCAGCCGGTTTGGTCTTCGGTTGCTCGCTCCAGCAAAGATATTTCAAGATCTCATCGTATCGGTTCTTGCTCATGCCTGTTTTCCCAAAGTTAGGCGCAGGGATGTACTTTCTTTCAGTGGTGGGTGCCCAAAGAGAATGTCGGTCTCCGAATTCAAACCGGGTGATCAAAAGGGTAACTCCAAACCACTTCAAGATTTCTGCAATGGTGATGTCCCGTTTGTTGTCTTCGCGGAGCTTCTTGTTTGTAACATCCACCATAAATCTTAGTTGTTCTTTGGGGAAGCAAGCCATGAAGAAGTCATATGGTTGATACTGTGGCTGCCGGTTGCTGTTGCCATTCAGAAAGGAAGTGTCATCGCAACCCGGAGTAAATTCTCTTCCAGTGTACTGGCAAGTCATCTTCCACATGCGCAAAGGGGAAGGGCCGTTAACATCCACATCAGTGGGCTTGTCATCATACCAGTCAACGCCATGGTTCGATGACACTGGAGTGCGTCCTCTTGGTGAGGGCTGTTGTTCCGGATTTTCAGGAGAAGAACCTTCCACGTTGACACGACGTTCTTCCTCTTCTGTGGTTGCAGTTGCTGTACCGGCTGATGCAGTTGCTGTACCGGCTGATGCTCCAGTAGCTGCAGGTGATGTTCGCTGTTGTTCCTCTTCAGTGTTGGTCCTTGCTCCTGTCAGAGGCGGTGGTAGTGGGTCGGTAGGAGGTTCCACGGTGCTGTTGTTGTTGTTGTTGTTGTTGTTGTTCGGATTCGGAACATCTTTTGGATTCGATGCCTTCAAGCTCTGAAGACAGATGGTAGCTTCCTTCTCAGTGCCACCCACAATCTTGTACAAGGCTCGAACGTAGTTCGTTGATCGCTTTGCGTTAGCATCTTTCTTCCGTGCTTCAACCTCAATGACAATACCTTTCAACCATGTCTCGTTCGTGGCTGATCCAAAATAATGATGTGCATGTCGAGTCACATGCTTCGCCTGAGCCCAGCAAACGCCACCCACTTGCTTCCTGGTATCCGCCATGGTCTTCAGTCTCTTTCCTTGTGCTTTCGAGTGGATGAAAGCCGTCGTATTCAGCCAAAAAGGGCGTCATTGTCATTGGATCGATAGATTGGAAGAGTAATGAGAAAATTTCCATCGCGTGTTCCGACTGTTTTGCGCTGGCCTCCGATCACATGTAAGTTTCCTCTCTTTAGCAGCCAAAATTGGATCGTCCACTAAGTAAAGTACTGGCTACAAAGCGAGCGCGATGGCTAGGATATACAAGTATAGATAGATGCTTAGCGGTGGCAGTCCATATGGGTAGTTATGTAACGTTTTTGACGTTACGTAACGTCCGTGGGAAGATAGACACTAGAAGTACTAGCCTGGCTTCGTTCGTACCGGTACAGTCGTACAGTAGTAGTCTACTTCCCACACAAGCAAGCCAATCTCCGCTACGTACACGCGCACAACATGGTGAAGGAAAAGGACAAGGACGAATTTTAAAGCGTCGATCAACCTTCAGCATTGTTTGTGTCAGCCTACCGATACTGGCCTCCGTCCGTGATGGGGATCTCCTTCCGCCAAAGCAAGATGAACGAGGACCACCAGTAATAGTACTGGTATCGTAGTATCGTAGTCGACTGGCAGCCAGCAATGTCTCACTTCTGCCTTGGTCCATCCACAACATAATGTTTGAAGAGCAAGATGTCAAGGTCCTGGCTAGCAAGCTAGCTACCGGAGGAAGTCGTACGGTACGGTAAGCAAACGCGTGAGCCCACGTTGCTATGGGAAGCAAAGGGACTAATAATGAAGATAGCTGTGTTTTGGGCGGTGACACACATGTACTGATGAAGACTCGAATCTATCTCATTAGCTGATCCAACGCAATGCATTGGTAATGAAAGATACAAAGTTGTTACACACTCTCTGATAGTACATACATGCCGTGCAATGCTGACACAGATGAAGACCTTTATTTAGCCTTAGACCTGACTTTATGTGAGGAAACAAGTACAAAATGATTGCTGAGTGTGTCTTGGGGTGTTGAGTTTGTGTTTGTTTTGTGGCAGTGATTCTCCATGTTCGTGCATCCGTCCGTCTCACATCTACCTGGCCATTGTTCTCACTTACTTGTCCACCACACAGACTGATGATGGCATTGTGTGAAAGCTAAATCGCGCACCTGGTGAGTACCGTACACGTTGGAAAGAAGATTTAGTGACTTGTACTAGTGAAGATTTGTATTCCGACTTTTGACCCGATGCAATGCAATGCATTGTACGGTGTGGAGAAAGCATACATTCCATATTATTATACTCTGATGGTACATACGTTCTTCGATTACCAATCCCCTTTACTGATGCATGAACGACCTCCGGTCTTTAACCAAACTGGAATTGCCCCGTGTTGTTGGTCTATTGGTGGATATGGCAAAGGATGGTGGTTGGTCGCTGCAGTGATTTTTCTTGCACTTGAATCTCACACTCTGCCTTGCCTTGACTCGACTCTTGCTAGTCGGACAGGCTGGCAATTGTGGTTTTGAAAGTCTTGATGGTGGCCTTGGATACACTATGATCTGAATAAAGGCGGACCTCGAACGTGGTACCGTGCGAGACCCCACGTATCTGTTCTTATGAACGAAGTTGCAACGTTCGTGTCCTTCCGTGGCAACATGAGACTCTCGAGTTGACGACGAGATCTGAGTCGATCTCGGGGGGCTTTCCCCGACCTCCGCATTGTGTCCTGTCTCTTACGGACTTGGTTGCGGCTCCTGCTGCAGTTGAACTGGGGTGGTGGCTTTGACGCTACTCGTCGGAGGACCTGTAGCCTGCCCTGCCAGGACCCTCCTCAAGATTTGAAAGTAGTACAGTTCTGGCTGCGCCTTCCTCCAGCGTTGAACATCTTGTCGTGTGTAAACCAGAAAGTTCAGCAGCCCCTGGAGCGGGAACATTACGGACACCATGAGGGTTAAAAAGTAGACTCCTGGCGCGGCCCTGTGTGCATGCATTCGTTCCGAGGAAGCAAAGACCGTCACCATTAAGGAAATCATCATCCAGACGTAACTGTTCAAATAAGTCAACGAGTATAGCATGGACTGACGCCTAACCTCCTGGATTCTCCGATGGAAGGTTGTGTCATTGTTTGTGCTGGTGGAAGTGACGCTGTTGAAGCGAATGGTCTTTGAAAGTTTGGAGCGCACTGTCCAGTATACCATGAAGGTACTGAGCACGGCGGCAAATGTCCCCGCAGTCACGTAGATCATGAGGATTACAAAGAGGGCGGTGAAGGCTACCTGGTTCGTGAAGAAACACTCCAGCTCGGTTCCTTCTTCACAACCATGCGGGGATCTCGCCAGAAAGCAGCCCGCGAGGAAAGGATGTGGCCCCATGGCCTTGATGGATCCAGCAGCTATGCCCAACCCCAGTGGAATTAGCACCGTCAGGGCATGCAGTACAACCTCCCACTTGGGCATCACCATGGAGCCTGACACTGGTTTGTTTTCTCTCCATCCATACCGCACGATGGCCAAATAGTAAAAGCTCAAGTAAACATTGTAGCTCACGCTGGTGGCAAGAAAAATGTAGAAAAAGACTCCCATCACTGTGCAGGTAGTAAAGTTTCCAAAGGTCCAAGCAAAGCCGCTGTCGGGTGGCAACAAAAAGGATCCGATCAAGACTGTCATGGTCATGGCAATATCGCTAAGGCTCACTCCAATCAGCAGACGCTGAAGCATCTGATCCAGCTTTCTATGGGCCATGTAGAGGATGCATCCTGACCCCAGCAACGACAAAACGCTTGAGAGCAAGGACACCACGAGGACGAGTATTTGCAAGGAACGAGGTAGTGGCGTCGGCTCGAACGCAGACATTCTTCTTTCGAATGTAGCAGTACTGGTTGCTTCTTTATTCTCCTTCGCTTCAGTTGTTGCTTATTACGGCAGTGAGCAACAGAGTCAGCCGTCGTTTTGTTCGTGTGGTCCTCGCGACATCAAATTTCATTGTCTTTGCGCACCGTTCTCCCGTTTGTGATGTGTCACTGTGTCGGTGCCGATTTGATCAGCATGCGACGTCTTGATCAAACTACATGTACATAGTACCGATACGGTGTGGGGCATGTACGGTACCGGTACTCTCATCACCATACCGGTAATAGTTAGCAGCGGCACGCACAGATTTCCCTTCGGTACGGCACCGTTCGGGTTCAAAAGCATTATTAAACTTTCATGCCACCGACGTGCCTTCGATACGGTCCAGCAACTATCTATTGGTGCCTACATACCAGTACCTAGTAGCTGGTAGAGACTGCATTTACTTTGGCACTTCTATTTCCTCTCCATCAGCAATTGGACTTCGAAATGATTGCAAGCACAAGCCAGCACGAAGCAGTGCGGAAAGAAGTGAGCTTTTTTGTGTGATTCATCCATGTGTGTTATTGCAGTGACAATGGGATTCCCGCCTTGGCCCCACCACTACTCGTCGACGGAGACGGGTAAAAGGCCCGATATCCAATGGTTGCAGCCGTAATACCCAACAGGGTTCCTGCCAGGATATCGGATGGATGATGCCAATTGTCTGCAATCCGGGAAGTTGCCACAAACACGGAATAACTCCAAGGAAGCAATTGTGCCATGACTCCCAATAGAGCTTTGTAGGGGTATAGTTTGATAGATCTTCCTCCGGGTAGGGCCATGGTCGTATTAGGTGCAAGGAGGGCCACCCGGCCCAAGAAAAAGTAGACCAAAAAGGTCATGCCACAAAAACTCAAACTGGAGTGTCCCGATGGAAAGCTCAAACTGGCCTCGTGGATTCTAGATAGTTTCGCAGTGCATTTCAATGACACTGGATCAAAACCGCAGAGGGCATAAAAGTTGGGTCGATGCCGTCTCACGTATAGTTTCAAAGTCTGTGTAATGGCTTCCGAGAGACCGATCGACACAAAGAGTGCCGAAACCCCCGCTCGAAGTTCGTGCAATTGTTGAATCTTGATCAATTGAATTCGTCGGCAGGAAGCTAGCACGTCAAAGTGGTTGACGAATAGCACCAATAGTAGAGGAACTACAATGGCAGTCATGATCAGCATTCCGGCTGAAGAACCAATCGGAGAAAACAGGCAGAGTGAGTGAGATGGGTATCGTATCCTTGCAGTACATGTTGTAGCAACAGCCACGAGATTGCATTACTCACAAGAGATGGTAGGAGGATCGGCCAATGGCTTGTTCAACTGCTGGTCTAAAATGACATCTCCCGATGAAATCTTTTGATAGGGAATATTCTCCTCACGCCATGCTTCCTTTTCCACGGCTGCAAAAACGGGTACAATGACTGACCCCGCAACCAACAAGAGAAAACTCAACCCAATGTGTCCATAGACAAACCAGGTGAGATTTTGAGTTTCTCCGTCCTCGGCTCCCACAATGCCATCGGGAGCACTCAACAGAGACACACCACTACTGTTGTCGCCTTGGCTTGCTTCAACGTCAGCATCATTGTTGTTAGGACTGCTGCTGTTGGTCCTTCCTTCTTCCAAAGACGATGACGCCTGTCGCTTCCATAATCCTCCTGAGCTATTAGGCGACGACTCCATTTTGCCCATCATACTGTCGTTATTGCTGTTGCTCTATAGCTGGCAAAGTTATTGGTTGTGGTACGTAGGGTCCCGATTGCTGTCGGGTGTCGGGTGCCATGGCCGTTGGTCTTCTTGGTTGTTCCTGTGATCTTTCGCGGAAATGGGGCGGCCCCGGGGGTGGTCTTCATTCAAAAGGGGGTGGGAATCGATCTGTTTTCGCCTTGCTTTGGAAAGGGGGTTCTAGAGCAAGGGATTACTGTGGCTGTTCTGTGTCTGGTCTTAGTGTCATTAGAAGGCCGATAGGAAAGCACAGCGAGACAACATGCAGCAACGAATCATCTTGGACTATTTTATTTGAAGCCGAGGGTTACCGTGGCCTAGCTAGTCCAAGGAAAGTGCTGCACAAAGAGCAGCTTTGGAGCCATGCATGGCTGTTTCTGCCTTCAAAGGATCTCTTCGGGGGCTTCTTCCTCGACGCCATCGTAATCGTCGTAACCCTGCTCAGTCTCCATGCCACACTGAATGTATTGAAGAATCGCACCAAACCGATCTGCGGCAAACACTGTATCAAAGCGGTAAATGTGAAGAAATTCACGGGCAGCATACTCCCAAGCAACGGTTTCTTGAACCTGTTTGGTGTCAACGTCGTTCCAAGGCCGGCGGAACACCCAGTACAGAGCATTGATCTCGTCACGAAAGCTCTCCACAATAATGACGGGGAACTTGGGGCTTAGGCTGTACCGAACGACATACTCCACAATAAGAAAGAACACCGTGGCTAGAATGGCCAAGGCGAGTGCACCCAGTGCAATCCAAAACGGCAACATCATGGGCGTATCAATCCTGTCCCCGAAACCACTCTCGGCAATGGAAAATGGCAGGGCAACTGATGCGGCGACTGCGGCGCCAAGTCGCATCAGTGTCAGCAAGAGTTGCGTCAGTGTCAAACTTGCAACCATTCGAATGTTCTTGCGATCGTCAGGCTTGACGTCGGCGTTGCAAGCCTTGGATCGTAGTGTCCACCACAAGTTCCACAAGATACGCAGCTTTCGAAGAAAATGGAAGATTGCCAAGAGGGCGCCACCAGTGGAAGGAACCAACGCCCAAAAGGCGGCCCGTTCCAGGATCTCAATGCTGAAGATGCGGGCAGCGGTGAACACGATCGATGCTGCAAACACCAAAGAGGACGACACGAAGATCATGGAAGCAACGTCGCTCTCGTGAGTTGCCCAAAAGAGTTCCTTCAAGTCTCGTACTTCGCGACGAAGTATCAAGTCGTCACAGTTGGCAGAGAGGCTTTGGACTTGGTCCAAGATTGCCTTGGTGGATCTCTCAATTGGAGCAAAGCGACCGTTGATTCTCAGCAATCTGCAAAGCAGGCTGTAAAGGTACCGCAAGGTGACAACCACGTTCCAGTGCGCAACCTTTCTTTGCTTGATGAAGCCCCAGCGGATTGATCCGCGCTGAAGTGATTGGTTCAGAACGGGTGTGAAAGAGCACAAGCGAAGAAACGTCTCCTGTGCCAAGTCGTGGTTGAAACCCTTCTTGGCTGGTTTGAGGAAGGACAAAGCTTCTTCCAGTGACCTGTGAATGTTGACAAGATCCTCCTGTAGATACGAGTTCACATGATAAGTATCAACGATCAAGTCCGACACGAGCAGTTTCTGAAATCGGCGAATCTCCTTGGGATCGTCAAAGTTGTCCTTCCAACGCTGGAAAGCACGGGTCAGCTGGGCTGACTCCTTGCTTCCGTAGTACCGTGCACTCTTTTGGAATCGATTCACAAGATCTTCCACCTCGGAAACGAAGGGATTGAGATATCCGGGGATACTGTTACGATCGTTCTTTGCGAATGCGCCGGAGAGAGCTTTCTTAATGTCCTTGAGCTTCTTCTCGAAGACTAGGATCCGCGCTTCCTCGTTGCGAATCTTATAACGTGCCACGTTGGTCATTGTGTCGAAGGATATCATGATATTCAGAACGGAGACAATCGCAGAGAGAATATTGAATGCGTCGGACCCGATGAGTCGGAAGGCAAGTGCGGCTGATGAAAGGGCAACGGACATGACAAATGAATTGGCAAAGTTCTGAGCCTCCACCGCAAAATCGTCAAAGACCGAATCCACCGGCTTTGGTTGATTGTATAGCTCTGATGAGACCCTCTTGTTGTATACGTATGCAGACGACGCGTGCCGAATGACATGGCTAGGAGCGGCAGACAAAGGAAATGTGAGAACGGCCGGTGATGGCGGCATACATGTAATGGACAGTGAGACGCTCTCCCATCGTTTACCTGCAAGCCTGTTCTAAACTCTTGGCCATTGGAATGTGAAAGTCTTGAAGATGCTTCTTCAGTTCTGGGCTGACCTGGAGTGGATCCAACACTCCGTCCCATTCCATGATCTCGGCCTGCCTATCACCCTTGTTCTTCCGAGCCTGCTGCAATGCGCATTCCAACGTGCCTCGCCCGACTTGCCAATCTCCCCTAACCTGGCCAAAGACTCTATTGAATATGGCGTGTCTCAAGTGAAGCCTCAAAGAAAGAATGAAGTCTTCGTTGAGTTCCATGCCACGTGGTATCAACGAGGCTGCAAGTTTGACCGTCCACTCATTGGTCAATAAGGATTTCAAGTCTTGACTGCTCTCGCGGTGTTCGATCACTCGAGCATAAAGGTAGTCGACCAAGTCTGGGTAAGAAAACCCTGGTCGTAAGAAGCCGTCTTCTCCAAAGCAAGCCCCCGACCCCCTGGTGACCACTTCTCCCGATGACCAGTTCGTTTGACTTGAATAGCTTGCGTACCGCTCCAGGAAAGGTGCACCATCAATAGCTTGCTGTATGAAGTCGTTGAGTAACATGGCGTTGATGCACGCTCCGGTTAGACCACTTCGGGTTGGAAGGCACTCGTTAGATGGATTCGAAGTACGTGGTTGGCAACACCGTCCGTCCATCCGCAATTCTCTTACCTGTAACGCATGAAATGTGGAGTAGCTTGCTCATCGCCGATGAAGGCAAAGACATAGTCTTGATGTGCCTCATTCACCCGGAGCGTTCGATAGTTCACGTAGTGGCTAACGGGAAAGGTCGCGAGCGCAACCTTTGATTCGGCGTTGCCATCGGGGGTTCTTGTTAGATTTCCTTCTCGGCGAACCTTTACATTGGGGGCAACCACGGATACGCGGCCCTGGACGTTGCGGACGATGATCTCTGAAGACTTCTTGATGAGTATCTCAAATCTGTCATCAGTGTTCTCGCATAACCGGAAGCTCTCGCTTTCGTCAAGGCTGCCAAGGTCGACATCAAAGTGCGAATTGATCAGATACAGACGAGGGACTCTGTGTCGAGCCCCTGGGTTGTAAACGTCGCCCGTTCGAATTGTTTCCAGGCACGCTTCGTACCAGAGACGATCTATGTAGTGCATCAATTGACCTTCCATTCTGTTAGGATTGTCCATCGTACCCCCTGGCTTGGCCAGAGACGCAACATGCTTTGCAAGCTTGTTTTTCCAATCATCATATTCACGTGGAAACTCCATCCCTTGCGAGCATATGCAAAAGAATCCTTTTGAGCTCTCATCCATTACAGCCTTCGCAAAACAATGCAACCATAACGACGCCTCACCTAAATAGAACTGATCGCCGGTCTCAAAGAAGCGACACTGGAGAGTTTGTCTTCTTACTTTCAATGCGTTTTGTGCTTGCCACTTGCATGCTCTCTCAATCGTCGCTATTGCAGCCTTGAGCTTGCCACCTTTGAGAAGTGAGGGCGTCAGTATCTTTTCAAACTGAACCTTCCAGTTCTCATCAGACGACACAAGATCATGCATCTTCTCAAGAATGGGTTGCAGGCGCACCATCTTCGTGAAATCCCCGACAATACGCGTATTTTGATCATTCTGAGATCGTATGTCACTGCCAGCGCAACACAAACAAGTTTTAGAATTCCACGCCATTCCCATCTTGCAGCAATGTTCAACCAAGATCCTTGGCTCTTACTCTAGCACACCAGAGCCCCAGCGCTTCTCGCCAAAGTTATGCATACCCATGGAAATCTTTAATCCCTGCATGCACAAGACACCATATGGTTCGGGCGTAGTCGCCCTAAGGTGGACTTTCGACTCATGTGATTTTCCTGTCAAAAAGCGTGCTCCGTTAGAGTTGGTATACACAGTGTAGATCGAATGAAGGGGATCAAAACATGCGGCTCTTGCACTTACCGATTGCCTCTATTACGTGGGTGTTACCAACATCCAAGGTAAACTTCCTGTCGCTGATAGTCTTCATCAATAGCTCCTGTCGGGCCTTGAACCCCTCCTTCCCTATCACCGAACATTCTAGAGCAATGGCGTACACGTCGGCATGCATTTCCGTGTCCTTAGGATAGATCGAGGGCAGGTTGCGGGGGTCGACTTCAAGGCGCTTGCCATCCATAAGAGATTCAAACTTGTACATCTTGGACTCAAGACACACATGAACAAGCTTGAATGGCAAGACGGTGTTCTCCTGTCTGACGTACACACCGTACTCCTTGTCTATTCGGAGATCATCGAGACCAAGCGGCTGGGAATATATCAGATGAACAACTTTCCATCTGACCTCTCTACGGCAAGGAACTCCATTTTCGTCCACGTTTCTCAGGATTATATCGTTTACTTTCAGGTGTTTTCCAAGCTTTGTGAGCCGGTTGGAGTCACTGTCAAACTTTGCTTTTGAATCAGCATGAACAGATATGATTCCTTTTGACCATAGTCTTGATACCTCAGAGTGCAAGAGGCTCTCCAAGTCTTTGATGGTGATCTCGACAAAGCCTTGTGTGGGTCTATGAAAGCAGGAGGGTTGCTTGTGAGAGTAATCAGGCGACCAGCTACCGAATCACTGCAGCGTCTTACAAGGTGTTGCCTAGCTGAGAATCTGTCTCCCCAGATGCCGGTATGAATACATCTTCAAAGCCAGTGCCAAGATGATATCGAAGCATTGCGATCCAGCGAGCATCTAGTCGAACAATTTGTGCTCTCTCAAACGATGAGCCACCTTTCGCAAAGGAATCTCGTGCTTCATAAAGCTGCACCGTTCCACCGGACAAGAGCACATTCTCTGCACAATGAATTGCCGTCATGAGCCCCGTGGGGCCTCCACCGATGATGGTCATGTTTTGTGGAGGAAGACGGACTAACAGAATTTTAGCACGAAAACTGGTAGGCAACGTGTGCGCAGTGATGGTGGTTCGGCAAATATCTTACCAATAGTTTGCCTTGCAAGTTCCGCCAGGTTGAGGTCCTTTGCATTGGATCTCGTCGTATGATGTACAAAACGTACATAAGTTCTGGTCCTTGGATTGAATGCATAATAGGTTGAACCAGCTACCAAATCGCAAGGATTCACTCTTGTTTCAGTACGGTTCTGCATGTCCTTAAGAACGTTCACCCTTGCAGCATCCAGCTCTTCACATGTTAGTTGGGACACTACGAGGAGACGTCGGAGCAAGGTTCGCAAAAAGCTAAGCTCCATGAATGCGTTGTAGGTGAACCGATTGCCAAACTCCAGCTCTATTGTCATGAAAGCTTTCTGCGCTCGGCTGAGCTTGCCGGAGACAACGATTCCAATCATCTGTGAGGATGGCGTTTGAACCGTGGTGCTATCCTATGGCCACAAACGTACCTTATAGCTTCTCCAACAGCCACGTACTTTCTCATCTGGACGGTTGAATTAAGCCTCGAGACAAACCTTTCCCTTCCATATCTAATGTTTACGAACCTGAAAACTGCTGAAGAGCTTCCTGCTTTGTCGAAGACGTAGACTCCTTCTTCATTTGATTCCGTGGATTCCAGCCAGTACCATTTGCCATTCACAGGATGAGCTACCATCTGCCCCTTCGACATTTGATGAATGGTCTTATTCAAAAGATCACGTCGGAGCTCCCGTTGAAGCAATGTCTTCACGCGGCCAAGAAGGAGCTTTGCTGGCTTTGTTTCTGCGAGATTCTTCTGCACCAACTCAATCAGAGTCCTCTTGTCACGAGGAGTTGTCAACTGCAGCGCACTTCTCACCCTTTGACTTGTCCTTTTCGATTGATATTTCCCATCAATATGATCAAGAATCAACTTTCGAAGCTGTCCATCCGACGGCACCTTCCAGCTCACTTTGGTGAACAGCTCGTAGCCCAGGTCGATTCCCTCTTCGACACCAGACACCAACTTGTAGACGGCCAAGGCTTCCTCGTCGATGCGATCACAGGCAATCTCGATGTCATGCACCCAACTTCGAAATGGATTTATCAAGGAAGGTATTCCTGCACAAACTGGTCCAATGATGGTCTTGCCCAAAGTGCGGGCTAGTTTGCGCGCATTGTTGGCAGTGGAGGATGGCTTTAGGGCTTGAAGGTTTTTGATCAGAGGGCCCATGACTCTTGAGTCCCACTCATTTCGTCCCCGTAGGGAAGCAAGTACCAAAAGAACTTCTGGAATGTGAAATCGAAGTGTTTCGAAAGGATCTAGTTGCTCCATTCGTTGGTGGGAAAAGTTCCCACAGGGCTGCATTAGCATGTTGTTCCAATGATTGGCCAACTGACGAATAACATGAAACACTCCATTGTTTACCATCGTAGGCATTGGCTGCGCCACAAAGGTCCTGACGATTGACTCGTCCGTGGGGAGCCGATGCGAAAACCGAAACTCGTTGAGCTTTCGTCTGCCGAAATACGTTCCAAACTGATTGCGGTTGGCAAGCTCAAAGCCGTTGCTTTCGGCGGCAAGATTCTGTGCTGTATTGTTTGGGTTGTCTGTAATGAGACCTTCCCTCCCCTGAGTGACCACCCGAGTTGGCCAATTGCCTGGTCCAAGGAGGAGCCGAAACATGGATGCTAAAGCATGATTTCTGGTAGCTGGAAAGTTCTCTGTGGCCGGGAATCGAGTGATTCCAAGTACAGGAACTAGACCCCAGGAATCAAACAATCGATTCCACGTTATCATGGTGCTCCAGTGCCAAAGGAAATCATAGCGTAGTCTCAAGCTTTGTACTAGAATCCTAGAGACATTGCGGTTCTGGAATGCTTGCTTCAGCACGTCTTTGATATCCTTCGTTTTGCCCTTGTCCATTGCTTCAATGACTTGTCCAAGCGCAAACGCCTCGTGCCCAGTCAAAAACGGGAGGAAGAGTTGCAAGAATCGTGTCAAGCGAAGAGCATTGGTCTCATCGAAGGATACTGCAACAAGCTGGACCAAAACAGCACGCCATGCTCTCCCCAATGAATCACGTACTTCGTTGTGGGTGACAAACTTTCCATTGTGGGAGTTCATCTCTTGCTTCGTGGCTGGTGCCGATTCTTTCATGCGACAGAATGATTTGTCACTGCATCTCGCACCTTTTCTGCGGGCCTCTTGTTTCTTCGCTTGCGTCGTCGCTTCGATGTTGTCAGTTGTCGAGACTTGCGTGTAGAACCGCCTGGAGGATTTGGTTGCGAAACTTCTCTTGCTCTTGTTCCAATCATTCTTTCCAGATGAAGACGACATTCCGACGATTGTACTGTCCATCGACGCCCACCCTCGTCTCCGTTGTACTCAGCAGTTTGGGGAAATCGTCTTCAAGGTTTCAGTTGACTGAATGAATCAATCGAAGATCGTACTTCGTGCAGTTAAATTCTCATTGGGGTCGCCTCACCTCTCCATGCATGCAAACACAAACCAACGAATACATGCATCAGAGTGCCAAGGGTAGATACAATCGGCGTTCCATTGCGCAAGGGTCGATTTGGAGAACAAAAACGAGTCTTATTGCGGCGAGCAAACAGAGTTTCTCGTGGGAAATATTTAAACACTAACGCTAAAATGCTGAATCTGACTCCCGGATCACGCGACACTATTTCTGCTTTCAAGTACCAGTTTTATACCCATTTATGCGAAAGGTTGTCACGAGTACTAATCTACTATAAAAAATATATCCGTTATGTCTGGAGCAACGATTTGGATACCGCCATGACTAAATGCTTAAATAACTATTTAACGACTATTTGTTTCTTAATTCTAACAGCAGCTTGATCCAATCGGTGGCAGAGCCTTTTAAAACAGAGGCACCATGGCCGAAGAGAAGAGAGATCGAGCCGACGACGGAAAGAGAGAGCTGTTGACATTGGAGCTGTGCACTGAGGAGTGAATAACAGCAGTAACCTAGCGTCCACGCTTGGAGGACCTGGTGGCCTTGAACGGAGTGAGCCTCGCAACCTCCTGTGTCAAACCGACCTCAACTTCGAAGCTGTCGATGCTGTCTCTGATCTTGGTCTTCTCTTTGGGTGGGCTGATGTCGAAGTTGTTGCCGGAGATGAGAAGCGTGATGGTGAAGCTCTTGTCTGTGAGGAGCACAATGCAGCTGTTGGAGACACAAGTGATACGCTTCACATCTCGTGGTTGTCGAGGAAGAGAACAAAGTCCCAGAAAGCCTCTTTCGGCCACACAATGTTGCTGCAAGAGTGACACAAAATGTGGCATCCTTGTCGGCTCCGTAAAGGGCTTCATCAATAGAGTCTTGGAGCTTCAGTTGAGTTTCCTCGGAAAGAATCTTGGTGTTGTTGACGACGGTGCCGATTGCAGGTTCATCTTTCGTCGTGCCGACGAAAATGCTGCAGATCATTTCTTCGTTGGTAAATGGGATGTACTTGGGCTTGGGGCGCGACATGATAGAGTTGTAGGCGAGTGGATTGTGGTTGAATTTGCTTTCCGATGAAGATTGTGTGAGAGAGGGAGAGGAGTGTGGGCGAGGAGTTGTCTCCGTCTCGGAGAGGCTTTGCTTGAAAGCCTCGATTTGAATTCAAACTAGCCGCGCAATTTGAGGCATTCAAATCGCGGCTACTATCGAAGCCTTCGGACATTAACCACATCGAAGTCTTCCGACTCTACCCCTCAACAAGCCAACAATAAACAACAGTCATGTCTACCGGTAGCATCTCGTGGAGGAACTTGGCGGCAAGCTGCCCAAACTACCGAGTTGAGTTGGCGTCTTCAAATGGTGGAGTGGAGATCCAGGATGCTGGTGCTGT